GTGACCTAATAATTATTTATTAATTGTCGCTGACGTCACACAACAGACGAAAATCTAATAAAAAAAAAAAAAAAAAAAAAAAAAATTAATTACGGTGATACAATTTTATTTTACTTACCGTAGTAACAAAACAAATTAATTTAAAAAAAAAAAAACTCTCACGGCTATTAAATATTAATTACTCACCTTGATTTAATATATATATAATCAAGTCAAATTTCACATCGTAATAATTCATTCATATCTTCATTATTATTATTATCATTATTATTATTTTTCTCCCTTCTTGTGCTCATAACATCTCCATCAATCAATCAATCAATCATTCACTCATTCATTCATTTTTATATTTCATTATCGATATGCGTTCATCATTCACGACGTTTGCCATTAATATCAAAATATTATTTCAATTCACAACAAACAACTCTTAAATAATAATAATAATAATAATAATAACAAACAACAACTCAAAAACAATAGGAATATAAATAAATAATCGATCAATCAATCAATATCGATTTGTTTAACTTTATTTATCGAAAAAATTTCTTTTTTTTTTCTTACCGCGGCGGCGTAAACCCCCCCCCTCCTCTCCCCTCTTCATCCCCCCAAAAAAAACTAAAAGGAAAAAAAATGAAAAAAAAATTTCGGATTTAGTCATCAATTACGTTTACCGTTTATTAATAATAATAATAATAATAATAATAATTTTTTATTCATCTCCTTTTTATCAATATTTCAATTTATTATTATTATTATTATTATTATCATTATTATCATCACTATTACTATTTTATTCATTTATGTATGTATGTATTTAATTTATTCATTCACTTTTTTTTTTATTTATGCATTTATATTTTATTATTATTATTATTATTATTAATTGTATTAACAAACCATTACACAATATTTCATAATAATAGTTTTTAGCTATGAGTCTATTTATTTATTTATTTAATTTTTCTTCTTCTTCACTTTTTATAATAATAATAATTCGCGATCATATTTATTTAAAAATCATAATAATCATAATGATGATTATTTTTATGTCCTCTTCATCCTCTTCATCTTCATCTTCTTCTTCTTCGTCAATTTTCTTTATTGACAACACTCATCACTCACTCATTATTAATTGTTCATTCATTTATTTATTTACTTTATTTATTTATTTATTTTTATTTTTTTTGTTTGTTTGTTTGTGAAAATTTTAATCATTCATTACAAACAATTCATTAATTATTTCACTAGTAGTATTAATAATAATAATAATAATAATGTTAATCATAACAATCGTTATTATTATTATTATCAAACATTATTCCCATCATATTTTTATAATGGATATTTAAGATAATGATAATGATGATAATAATAAAATATAATAGTGATGATGATGATAATAATAATAATACGTAAATAATTATAATTATAATAATCATTATCATCATCGTCATCGTCATCGTCATCATCATCATCGTATTAATAATAATTGTAACCTACATGCGTGCGCATATACATAGATATATGCGAGTTTTGACGTGCGCGTGAGCACGTATTTATGCCTATATATTCGTATACATGCCGCGTACACGCACTTTCATCATTTATTTATTTAATAATAATATTAATAATAATAATAATAATAATTATAAAAAATTAAAAAATAAAAAAAAAAATTAATAATAATAATAATAATAATAATAATGATAAATCGATCTAAATAGCATCGAGTTACGATGGTAGTAGTAGTAGTAGTTATATAGCAGCAATAGCAGCAGTAGTAGTAGTAATAATAATAATAATAGTAGTAGTAGTATTTGTGATAATATTATTAATAATAATTAAAATTAATCATGACCTTAGTTATGTATGTATGTATATATATATGTATAAGCACACACGTGTACGCACGCGTGTATACATACGTACACGTACACGCGTATGATTTTTTTTTTTTTTTTTTTAGTTTTTTCTTCCAACGATTTATTTAATACATATGTACATAATTTTTTTTTTTTTTCTTTTGATTATTATTACTAATAAATAATAAATAAACCGTTTTGCGAAATAATAATAATAATAATAATAATAATAGTAAAAATAATAATAAAAAAAAAAAAACTTATCATTATCATTATTTTTTTAAATATGATTCCAAAAACCATTTATTATTAACATGTTTTTATTTAATTTTTTTTTTTTTTTTGTTTTTATTTTACTTTTTATTTATTTTTTTTTCGTTTTCTGTTTTCTTTTCGTTAATAATTCATTAATCGTTATCATTATCATTATCATTATTATCATTATTATTATTTTAAACTATAATGCGTGAATATATATATATATATCGAATTATAAGTATTATATACTTATTAAAATAATATTCACTAAGCTCCGAATAAGTCTGTGTGTGTGTGTAATATATATATATATATATATATATATATATATATATATATATATATATATTCGAAAGTAATCAATCAATCTTCAATCAATCAAATCTAATCACACATCAGTAGTAGACATCTTTGAAAAGCATCATAAGAAGATCATTTTATAAAAAATATTTAATTTTTTTAATTTGAATATATATATATATATATTCCAATGGGAAAGAGGGAGGGGAAAATTCAAAATCAATCACTAGACTCCACCCCCTCGAAATACTCAAGCCCCGCCCCCTGTCTAATTAATCGATTCGCGAGTGAGGGTTAGGGAGGCGGGGCGAATCCGCGTCCCGTACGGGGGGTAATCATTTAATAATAATAAATAACAAACCGACGAACGATTCGTCGTCGTCGTCGTTTTATTTTTAATGTTCGCAATGCAAGCAAGCAAACAAACAAACAATCAAACAAACAAACGAGAGAAAATAATAATAATAATAATAATATTAATTTCAAATTACAATCGTTATATATGTATATGTATATATATATATATATAATTAATATCCCCGGGTATAAAATTAAAAAAAAAAAAAAAAAAAAAGAAGGAAAAAAAAAACAAACAAAAACCCTCGACGGGCGTGCGTGGGTGAACGCACAAAACCTTTATACGACGTACGCACTTTTTACTTTCCCGTTAAAGTACAAGGAAAAAAAAAAAAAAAAAAAAAAATGTTTGTATGTGAAAGTGTCTGTATGGGTGTGGGTGGGCGTGTGTTTGAAAGAGAAAGAAAGAGGAGAAGAAGGGCCGAGTCACAAAAAATATCGCAATCGCGTTAATAATAATAATAATAATAATAGTTGTTTTAAAAAAATCAAAAACAAACAAACAAACGAAAAAAAAAGAAGAGAAATAATAATAATAATAATAATAATAATAATCAAAAAGATTCTTCGAGGCTCGATTCGCGAGAATTCCCAGTGCATGCGACCGCATTTTTGCTATCATTCATAACCGCACAACCGATCGAGTTCCCGTTTTTTTTTTTTTTAAGTTCGCAAAAAAATCACGATAATAATAATAATAATAATAATAATAATAATAATAATAGCATGTTATCCAAAATAAAAAAAAAAGGGAAAGTAATAATTAAATTAAGGCACACGTTCCATTTCTGACGGTAAAAGAAACCGTTAAAAAACCTGGAGTTGTCAATCTAGTCACCAATTCACTCCCCCCCCTCCCACTCACCACTTCAGATTCGCGTTTCTTTAAATCCCATTCAAAAAAAATAAAAAAATAAAAAATAAAAATAAGAAAAAAACGGAAAAAAGGCACTTTATCGCGTTTGAAAAGTTTTGAAACAAAAGCTTCTTTTTCTTTTTTTTTCTCTCCCTCTTTTAAATTACTCACATCCTCGTCTTGCGATATTTTTACATTAGACGCCATTTTGAATGACGTCAATCGTCATGACGTGTTACAAACAAAAAAAAAAAAAAAATTGTTTTGAAACATTTATTACCATTACCATTACTATTATTATTATTATTATTATTTTAGTTTATTTCGCTATATATATATATATATATATTATATATATATATATATATATATATATATATATATATATATAATTCAAAATAAAAAAAAAAAAATCATTCTTTTTTTTTTTTACATTGATGATGATAATAACAATGATAATAATAATAATAATAATAATAATTTAAAATAAAAAGCACTTGATCGCATTTTACTACGGTTTCATCAGTATATTCAGTTAGAAATAGCAATTAAAAACAATTTTTCCCTCTCTCTCTCTCTCTCTCTCCCTCTCATTTTATTATTATTATTATTATTATTAATTACTATTGAATGTTTGTTTCGTTTTTGATTTGTTTGTCTGTGGTTTTCATTATTATTATTATTATTATTTTTTTTTTAAAGTTAAAACTATACAACATAATGAATGTTTCAAGTTTTTGTTTGTTTGTTTAGGGCAAAAATAATAATAAAAAAAAAAAAAAAAAACTCGTTAAAAGTTGTCCACGTCATATATAATGTTGAGATGATTATGCTGTTGCTGTTGCTAAAGATGCTGATGAGCTTTTTCACATTTCTCTTCTTCTTCTTCTTCACCTTTTCTTTTTTTTTTTCTTTTCCTTCTTTACTACTTTTTCATATTATTATTATTATTATTACTATATTTTTTTCCTCTTCTTTTATTTTCGGGTACGGGGAGAAAAAAAAAAAAAAAAAAAAAAAAAAAAAAAAAAAAAAAAAAACCCTTTTTTTTCCGGGGAAAGGGTTTGTTTTTTTTTTCCCCAACCGGAAAAAAAAAAAAAAAAAAGGGAAAAAT